GTATGATGAAATTTGTTTGGCTTTGAAAAATATTGTGTCATCCATGATTGCATCAGATTTTTTCTCGCCTAGACACTATTGTCTCGACTGTCGATTAGTTGTCCTACAGCCATTGTCTGCGATGGACGTTATTCCAAGGAAGCGTATGGAAACTGTAACGCTGCACGAACACAATGGCAGGCTGTACCAGTGAGCAAATCAAAGTACTATTGACTGGCCCGGAAACTCCTGGTTTAAATCCAATCGATAATCTGTGGTCAATCTGCAAGGAAGGACTTCGTGGAATGGACACACGAAGTACTAACATGTGCACTGGGTCATGTTTCATTGGGAAAATACGAAAAAAATGTAAATAATAACGGAATTATTCGTTTTGTTTCAATTAATTTGCACAAGGGTGTATTTATTTAAGTATCAAAATTAAAAAAAAAATGGTATCAAAATTTTTAAAAAATGCTAGCAAAATTTAAAAAAAATAATATTAAAATTTAAAAAAGAATGTAATGAATTCTTGTAAAAATTCATTATTCATGAAATTTTTTTTCTTAATAGTGTCCATAATATATTTTATTCATAAAAACAATTAAAAACTTTTCTAATTAAATAACGTCATATTTCTATTGCATTTTTTATTTTACGATTCAGAGCAGATTTTTGTTAACTGGTGGGGGGTCCTGTTTAAAAAAAAATAATGATTTAAATTCTCTAAGTACTTCTGCGTATAACAAACCTTAACCGGCGCAAAAATGAATTTCCCGAAATTTCTTAAAATTGAATAAGTGCAAGTGTGTAATAGACGTAAAAAAAAAAAAATTTTGAAATAATTTAATTCATTTGTGAATAAGTCATGAAAGATTCATTAAAATCCGGCAATTATTTGATTTTTGCAAGAGTTTTTAAATCAATGTGTTTTTCACCGTAAACCAGACAACAAAATTTAATCTTTAGTCCCTTCGCTGACGCAAGAAAAACTAAATTTCGAACGTCGAGAAAAAAAAAAGATTAAAAAAATATACCGCATATCCTCGTGTATCATGCGACTTTCGAAGACCTAATTTTGAAGCTAATTTTAAGAGGGTCACATCATACATGAGATACAGTGTAACCCGGATATAAGAGATCCGGATATAAGAGAAACCCGGATATAAGAGTGATTTTCTCTGGTCCCAAATTAGAGCCTGTGTTAATGTATATAAAATAGACCCAACCCGGATATAAGAGAAACCCGGATATAAGAGACTGCTTCTCCGGTCCCGACAACTCTCTTATATCCGGGGTACACTGTATAAAATTAGCATATGTACTGCTGGCCCTGGCTACGGCATTGATCAAACTATTTATCCATTTACTGGAATCACAAAGTACAGCTGTATTTAAAACAAACATGATTTTGATAAAACTGATGCTTTACTTGACTGTATCGAATAATAATGCATGTAATATTCACATATTAGTATCGTATTATAAAATACATTAATACTTTATATATATATATATATATATATATATATATATATATATGTATATATACAGAGAGAGAGAGAGAGAGAGAAAGAGAGAGAAGTACAGCTGTATTAAAAATAAACATGATTTTCATAAAACTGGTGTTTTATTTAACTGTATCATATTATTTACATAATTATTCATATATTATATTATTATTCACCTTATCATAAAATACAAACATGGCGAATATTCCTCTTTTCCATTGTTTACATTTCTAAGATGTTTAGCTGTTTCTCGTTCCGTTGTTTATGGCTGTACGCGTTTACACAACGAGTATAGCTTTACTAACAATACTTTTATCTTTCTCTTTTACTTTTTTAACTGATTTAACTAAAAGATGGGATAAAGAGTTAGAGGAAAAGAGGTTAGTCTATTGTAATTTGGTCTCTGAAAAAAAGAACTCGCATGATACACGAGATACATGATAAAATCATTTTTTATAAGTGAAAATTTGGGACTCGCACGATACGCGAGATCTCGCGTTACACGAGAATATCTGGCATCTTTTTTTCTCGATGTTATCGCTTGTGGAACTCTTCCGAACCTTGCTTTCCTTTCAACTTTAGAATGCAAGAAAATTTGAATGCAACGTCAATCGTTATCGTCTGTTTTCTTCATTCTTGTTCTTTTATTGTTTCCCCGCCCGACCTAATAATGTTTTTTTTTCTAATATTTTTTCACACTGTGTAATTCCAGTCTATTCTTTCCAAAGTGTTACTAACAATACTTTTATCATTCTCTTTTAGTTTTTAACTTATTTAACTAGAAGACGGGATAGATGAAAAGAGTTTTTAGCCTATTGTTAATTTGGTCTCTCAAAAAACGACTAGGTGTATATATTTGTAATACACAGTATATACTTGCGTATCATGCGACATTTGAAGACCTAATTTTGGAGCTAATTTTAAGGAGGTCGTATCATACATGAGATATAAAACTAGCGTATGTACTGCTGGTCCCGGCTACGCTGTTGACCAAACTATATATCAAGTCAAAAAATAGAGCTGGTTTTAAAATAAACATCGCACGTTATACGAGTATATATGGTAATTTAATAATCAAAAACTCCTTCGGTATTTTCTCTTAATAATAACAATTTTGCTTTTATTAAGGGGCATTTTTTCATCATGGTATGGTCTTTTTTTAGCGAATCCGTGGAGGTACCTAAATGAAATTATGGAAATATCAAGAAGTTGTTTAAAAAAAAAAAAAAAAAAACAGCTGACTAGCAAGCGGACGTACATGAAAAACAACCTCGTCGTTTTCCCCTATTTTAACCCGTGCTCAAGTGTCGACCACTTTGCAGGAACAATTTACGAGGAATTGATTTCATTCAACATTATTATATATATATATATATATATATATATATATATATATATATATATATATATAATGAGTCAAGTTTCGTCTTCTCAATGACTTCACGCATCCTGGTAAGGGGATGGCCCGCGGCTCTGAAATGGTGCTTCTGCTTCAGTTTTGGAGCTGGCACTACATCTTATCTGGTCAAAGCATGCTTCTGTGGCCAAAACGATTGTTAATCGTCGGAAGTTGAAGAGGCTTTTACGTAGGAAATGTAATGAGTGTTATTAAACCCAAGGAGTGCTCACAGATGAAGGCTAAAGCAATTACCTACCACCACCGCCACTACCATCGCCATCACTCGTTCCAGGATGTACACATCTTTTTTTTTAATTCTATTTCTTAATCATTTCACCTCATACAAGGCAGTAAAGCCACTAAGACACAATTATTACTAAAGAGCAAGAAGAAGAGTAATCAAGAAGACAGTAGATAATAATTAACGTTGCGTTTAAACTCTTGAAGATGAAAGTTAGCTGGAAAGCATGAAGCCGGAAGAGAGTTCCACAAGCGAGAAGTGCGAGAAAAGAAACTGTTAGCATAGAACTTACGATTACATCTAGCTAATTCATCTTCGAATTGATGAGACCTTGCCGCCAACCTAGTACTGCGCTTAAATTCATAAAGTCCAAGTACCGTATTGGAAATTAATATTTATTTTGAATAATACAAAAGTCTGGCACAAGGCCAAAAGGGGGGATATGAGGAGGCTGGTTTTCAATCTGTCTTTTTCTTAAACTTAACTAGCCACGATTACTGACCCAAATATACCACAGCATATCTTACACCAAAACAACACAATCTTAATTATCATTCTTACTACAGCCACCATAATACCTCAGAGTCTCTATGATGTCCTAACTAGTTCCCATATGTACAATTTGTCTGTGATGGGGGTGGGATAAAAATAACATCATTAAAAAATGAAACTGCAATAAAAATATAATGAATACAATTTTATACACAAAAAAACTAAACAAAATCGTGTACCATATTAGAAAGTTCATCAGAACAATTAGCATGAGAATATTTATAGAAAAGGCACCAGGAAGGTACGTTACGGTGATGGGAAAGTGACTGAAACCGAGATGCAAGGTCAGGAACTATAATATTGCAAATTCTTCTTTGATTTGTTTTGTTAACGGTATATCAACTCTTTATGGTTCATTGAATCTTTCGTTGTCCTCTCTCCTTAATAGTAGTTTTTCTCATATTCTCTAACACTCAGTAACCCCCTTGCGTCCTAGTGGCTTTATTGTCTTTGATCTCCAAAAATTTAAATGCAATGTCAATCGTTATCTTCTGTCTTCTTAATTATTTTTCAATTTTATTGTCCCTCTCCTTAATAGTAGTTTTTCTCATATTCTCTAACACTCAGTAACCCCCTTGCGTCCTAGTGGCTTTATTGTCTTTGATCTCCAAAAATTTAAATGCAATGTCAATCGTTATCTTCTGTCTTCTTAATTATTTTTCTTTTATTGTCCTCTCTCCTTAATAGTAGTTTTTCTCATATTCTCTAACACTCAGTAACCCCTTGCGTCCCAGTGGCTTTATTGCCTTGCTTGGGTTGAAATGATTAAAAAAATATATGTATATGTGGCGTTTTTTGGGTTTTTTTTTTAGACCAGCCCCTCTAAGACAGACACGGTCATATACATTACACACTAAATCTAATTCTGCGACAATCTTCTCAGGGAAATTAACATCAACGCAACACGATTCTGTTCAAAGTCTTCTTTGCCATTGTGGTCTGCTTTTCCCCCGGGACGAACGATCTCGAGCTAGGTCTTTGCAGTCATTTTGCATGATGTTGGCCTTCTTCAGCGTGGACTTGATGTAGTCTCTCTACCTCAATATCGGTTTGTGCTATTGTTTTTTTTTTCCTTCGGCCAACTCACCGTCCAGAAACTGTTTAGGGATTCTATCCTCCTCCATCCTGATCAAATAGAACACTCCACCGAAACCTATACCTAACGTAATAAAAATGATGATAAGGGTCACCTTGTTGTCGAGTATGATCATCAAAAGATACGAAAAGAGGAAACTTGAAACGACACAGAGTTGGTTTAACCAGTGGTGTAGCTGGAATACATGCCGTCCGGAGTAGAGTGTATGCCGCTCGAGGCAGAATGCGTGCTAGCCGGGATAGAGAGTGTGCCGCCCACGTTCCGGCCGAGGTAGAGAGATTTGCCAATCCTGGACAGAGTGCGTGCCGTCCGGCGCAGAGTGTGCCGCCTGAAGGAGTATGCGTTCCGTTTGCGGTAGAGTGTGTGCCGGCTGGAGTAGAGAGTGTGACGCTCGGGGCAGAATGCATGCTACCCGGGGCAGAGAGTGTGCCGCGCGGAGCAGAGTGCATGCAGGCCGAAATAGAGAGATTTGCCGCCCGGAGCAGAGTACGTTCCGCCCGGAGCAGAGTACGTTCCGCCCGGCTCAGAGTGTTTTTAGTTCTGCTTTTAACGGATATGACTCTTTTAAACTGGATAAACTTTTAAAACCTATGACACAAAGCTAGTAGACATGAGACACGGAGTCTATTTTTATAACTGCTTCTCTTTTCAGCCCGCCACCTGATTTGAAAACGAAAGCGACATCAATACTCAGTACTTAATACTATTTTATAGTTGTTTGGTTGGTTGGTACTCTGGTGCGATGACTTTGCATATGACTTCATTTTCCTGTTTTACTCAGGCAAAGCCTGCCATAAATATCACAAGTAGAATCATGCCTGTCATATGACCTGGAAGTTCCACATCAAGACCTTTTAGGACACTTTTTTAAGCCTTTCTTTTGCAATGTCGTAATTATTATAATCATATTTCCTATTAATAATATATTATATAATATGTAATATTGTATAATTGTTACAAAGTGATGCGAATAGTATATTATACAGGGTGTCCATAAAGTTCGTGTGCACTTTAAAAAAATTATAACTTTATTTGTATTTGCGATAGAAATAATCTGTAAAAAATGTTATAAAGTTTAATGTACCAAGTTTTAAGTATAGCTAAAATAACTAATGTGATTTCAGGCATTACTGTAAATCTGTTGGCAAATGTTTTCCGTGAACTGCAAAATCGTATTACACTTTGTATTGCTAATGATGGAGGAGATGTGGAAACTTAAATAAAATTTCAATAAAACCTTAAAAAATATAGATTAACTTCTTTCTAATCTTTTTTACAAATTATTTCTATCGCAAATACAAAGAAAGTTATAAATGTTTTAAAGTGCACACGAACTTTATGGACACCTGTATATATAATATAATATCGTATAATTGTTATAAAGTGATGAGAAACCGACACAGACACGCACACAGGTATTGTTTAAATTTAGTTCAAATGTTAATCTAAATACCCCATTGAACCGTACAACCGACAGTCGCCATGCATTGTCGATTATTATGAATATATATATCACTATATGAATACTATATATCAATCACAATATTTGTCTGTCTGTCTGTTTCTCTCTCCCTCCTCCCTCCTCTTTTTGTGTATATATATATATATATATATATATATATATATATATATATATATATATATATATAAGGCATTGGACGATTTATTTCGCCCTGTTCGGATGTTTCTAGTTTTTTGGGTTTTTTTTTCAATTTTTTTTTGGGTACCAATTTGTTTCGATAGACTTACAAGTTGTTCTATCCGAGGTTTTTTCGCAACCGAGTATTACTTGTAGTTTAATAATGCACTACTGATGAGTGCCCAAAATATGACGAAACGGCATTCTGTTGAGGATTCTTCTAGAATCAATGAATTAATTATTATATATATATATATATATATATATATATATATATATATATATGAAGAAATATAGTCTTAAGATGTGCTATATTTGTGGGATAAAGTGCTCAATATCAGAGATAGATGTATGTAAATATAAGCGAACATTGAAGTCAACAGTCAGAGGCGACAGGCTACACACAATCGTCAGGCCGCAAGTATTGGATTTTTTCTAGATTATTTATATATATGGGTCAGTGGTGCATTGTGGGTAATCTATTGTGGCGGTTATTTTGGCGGGAGTAGCTTGTTTGTTTATATTTGTTTAGGTTAAATTATTTTACTTGTTTTTCATTTTCACTTTATATTTTTTATATTTATTTATTCTTTTCGGTTTTTGATATTTCATTAACGTAGTAATATATATATATATATATATATATATATATATATATACGTAAAATATTTGTCACTTAGCTGATGTTACCTTCAGCATTCCGACTCCAGAGTTTTGTGTACGGACAGTCCGGGAATAACTCTGTCCACTCTTCAGGGGATATCAGCAGTTGACTGCTTACTCTTCTCTATTTTTTTATATACACTTATTGGAGTTTTTTTCATAGTGTGTGTGTATGTGTGCGCGTGTGTGCATTCTTCGCGCACGTGCGCCATTTCGCCCGTCTGCGCAGACGCGCGGACGTGTAGAACGTCACGAGTATTTGTCTCTTTCATCGTTTTTTTTTCCAATTTACACTATATATAGTCTGATGAGGCAGGTATTAAAACTTACCTACTGAAATAGATTTATTATCGTGTTAAGTTTTTTCCTTTGATGTATATTATATTGCTCTTTATACAATACACTGAGCTCTCTTCATGG